TATCAATGAGATGCTCACTAGCGACTTGCCCTTTTCAGGTAGGTAGTTGCCTGGGGTTCTAGTGAGAAGTCGTGACCAGTAGGGTGCAGCAGGTCGCGTGTGAGGACAAATACTCGCCGAAGACATTGGTTGGGGGTCGCGCAATGTCGTGAATTGGCAGAAGTTAGAATTCATGCGCCATTGGATCGGGTCCCAGTGGCTTAATCGTATACGAGCTCACCTTGTAAACCAGAAGGTCCTGGGTTCGAATCCCGTTTGTGGGTGCGTACTGATGAAGAGTCCCAAACTAGGACGAAACAGCTGTCCCGTACTCCCAGGTTTTCCAATGGTTCTCTAACTAATGTCAGCTCCTGTAACCAATCAAATCCCTACAAACCAACACTTGAATATATTTCTCTTACTAAGGTAAACTGAAGTCACACAACAATATGGAAGGACAGGAAAAGTAAACTGACTCGCCTATTCAAAATATTTTCTTTTTAAGGGAAAACATGGTATACAACACACAATAGGTGAGGAAGACACAATCAATCACACTATAAAAGAAAACAATGGTCTTATTATGTTAGTCAAACAATATTTACTAACTATTTTATGAATATTGTATCAGTTAAAAGCAATTTAGACAATAGACTCACTTTATCCTGAAATTTATTTGTTACTCAATTAGTGAGGCTAGAAAAACCTACTAGCTTTTGAAGTTTAACTTATTTCCGAAATGAAAGGAAATCCAACACTTCAATCTCGCATAGGTGTGGCGACGTGGCTCACTGGCTTAAGTGCTCAACTTTTAGTCAGTCAATCCTAGGTTCCAACTCCGCTCCACATACCTCAGGCTGGGCAAGTGGATAGCATCACCAACTCTCTCACACAATAAGTGTAGCTCATGGCATGAAACATGAAAGACCTGTTCTGGAAACTGAATTCAGAAAAAATTTCGCATAAGTGCAAACTGCTGAAAAATTCTGAATCCTAATGAAACAGTCGTTTGCTTAATTTAGTTTGAACTTTCTTGTTAATTGATTGGATGGAAATGCTCAGCCCTAGGTTGACATGTCGGCTCCTTGTGCAGGGTTTCAACGACGTCTGATTATTTAACTTGAAGTAAATAGGAGCATGGTGACTAGCAGTGGAATCCAAGATGCGAATTTCGTCCTATTCGGGACTTGTCATTTGGGTGTACCTGCATTCCCCAGTGAGTTATGTACATACAGATGATGAATTCCAAACAGTACGAAATGCGCATCTTGGATTCCACTGCTAGTCACCATCCACTAATTTACTACAAATAGTCGTTTAGTTGTGCTTAGTTTTCATTGACTACCACCTAGTTGATGTTCATTCGTGTTGATAACGACCTTGAGATGGAATGTGGATTTCTTTTGCATAAGTATACTCATACCTGTTAAAAATCTAAAAAAGAAAGGATCTCTGGTGTAAATAAGTACACTATAATGATCATTATAAAATGAATTGATACTAAGGATGATTAATAATCATAATAATAATAATAATATTAATGAGTAGAAAGTAAAGGTCTAAATGTGTAGAATTATGCTTAAATGAGAGACAGTGGCACTTTCCAACTTCTTTAATAAGTGAATCTGCTCTACAAAGTTCTCAATTTTTCGTATATTGAGTTACGTAGTCTTAAAATTGTACAACTGTACGGAGGATTGAGGAGTCCATAAATCAATAATTTATACCATGAGCATCTACTGTCCTTACAAGTATACTTCAAAAAATTTTAAATAATATTTGTAGAGTTCTCAGTTCTAAAAACACATAACAGTAACTTTTTATATAGTAGTGTAAATAAATTCTCAAAATAGATACACTCCATTAAAAGACATTAAAAACTCTCTGTTAACCCCAAAAGTATCAAGGATTTTACTTATCGTGAGTATTGTGCTCCTCTGTGTTGCTTTCAGTTCCTCATACTAGTCAGTTTGTTCACACACTTCAATTAGTTGGGTGTACATCTTCTAACATATCATTTACAACACATTACCAACTTGAGCTTATTTCTTGGTATTATACACTGGTTTCTTGATGTGAAGCTAACAAGAAGAACTGATGGGAGCCTAAGAAGATCGATCCAAAAAAGAGCTACTTGGAATGGTCAACTAACAAGCTTCTATACCTGAATACACATTCAACAAAAGCGGAATTTAATTAAATCACCTGCCACCCGCATCCAACGCATCTGTAGTTCCGATGTTCTAGAAACAGAATTAGATATTCTGAGAGAAATCTTCATCCAATATGGATTCATTGACATTAATATCAAACCAAGAATTAGGAGAAACGAAACTTCACTTGCGCCGAAAAAGAAACTCTACATGAACTTGGATTTCAAGGGAGATTTAACAAGCGATATTCTTAAGAGAAAGATCATCTCTGAAAAGAACATTCTTTGCAACAACGCTAAGAATAGTGTTCTCCAGTCGCCCACTGATCTGCAGAAGCCTCAAGGACAAGATCTCGCATCTGACCACTTCTATGTGCATATATCAGTTCACCTGATGCTGTGGAGCCAGGTACATCCATCGGTCGTTCGACGCGCACCCTGTCCAAGAGGATTCACGAATACTAACCAGCATGGTTGCGAAAATGCAATAGTGGTGCAATAAGGAGTGCGATAATTGAACACCTGGTTAACACTGATCATTCCATCTCAACAAACGCCTCCTTCAAAGTAATCTACAGAGTCAAGAATAACCTACCAAAGGCAATACGGTTTCGTCTTCTTTGTATCGCTGGAGCTCTGGCCATTCACATAGAAAAACCGCAGCTGTGCATACAAAAGAGAATTACTCAACCACTTCTACTATCATGGTAACAACTTTGTTGATTTGATGACTTAATTTTGTTTGTTTGCCTGTTCTTTAATTGCTTATAATTCTTCTATTCATTTAGAACTCTTACGTAATTTCGCATTCTCTACTTTGTTCCTATGTGTATCCTGAGTAAAACTCAATCATCAAACTATTCATATTATTACATAACTTCTTTTCTAACAACTGCTGATGACAACTCATCACCTTTGTTACTACCCTAATTTCATTAACACCCAATTTTCTTGACTGATTTTGTATTACGTAACTCCAATTACCAATCTTCACCTGTTTAGTTAAAATAACCATAAACAACTGTAGTTTTGTTTGACAAACTTAATGTACACATACATACAAAATAACGCATATGTATTTGCGATTGTACAGCTAAGAAAATGAATTCGCCGAAAAGAGACTCTTCGCTGAACTAAGCGTGTTTTGTTTTCACAACAAAAGTGTTACTCTTTTTCCCAAAAGATCGGTGACCCCAGAAACATCAAATTTTCCTTCAAACTAGTGTATTCCATGACTGCGAAAAATGGAGTTATAATGAACAACGGTAAACAATGATTTGAAAAACATCCAATTTTTGATACATATTTTAATCGGTTGAGCTTAGAATGACTGAGCGATACTACTAAGGTTCGAACATCAGTAAAATTGGGATTCCGTACTCTAAATTGACTATGCAATCAAATGTTATTTTCTGCGCTGAGAATTAAACGTAGTTAAAGTTTAACCACACAAACTCTATGTAAAGTTTAAGTATAACTAAAAATGTCTGGTTACATAGTTATTGAAAATCCGACTTTTAATCGGCTAGTTTTGCCTATGATTCATTCAGTAATCCTTAAACAAACGCACTACTGACACTACCCTAAACAAGGCGACGGATGAAATGTTGTCTTCAGATTTCCACGACGTTGCAGCTATTGGTGTTAACTTGAACATGATCGTGTCCTATTTAGTCTTTCGCATGTTGGTTTTCACGATTTTTTTTTCATTCAGAAGCATCGATACATATTAGTGAAGCAAAATAACACTTCCGATCAAAATGTACAGACTACTGGTACGTCTACTAGTCCTACTTTTCTCTTAAACAATAATGCTGGGATGACAGAGAATTGTTGGCTGTTTTCGCCCAAGTGAAGTGATACAAAAGAAGGTATATCGTGTTTTCTTTTACTTCTAGTGTATTTTACTGAATGCAAGTATGACGTGGATGTCATCTTTGACCAAGTTTATGACAACTGAGACAAACTAATGGTTCCACCTTCCTTTGTGTTAAGTCTTCTTGTCAGCATAGTACGTTATGAGGTATCTATGTTAGCTTGCGGAAGTAATTAATTCCGGAAGATATCAGTATCCTAACATTGACTTCAGAAAAATTGTTAAGAAGTGATTTCATAGTCCACTAGAGACTTTTTCATTATACACCAGAATAAGGCAAACTAAGTGCAGTTCACTGGAGCTTACGCGCACGTGGACTCCGTAAAACCGAGGAGTACACAGAATCCTTCCATTTTGAAATTCGTTTAATCCGACTGCCGATTCTACCTGAATGATGGATTAAAATAGACTGGGAACAATTAATCTACTGATTTTGCGTGAATTAAAGTAAAACTGCAGCGATTTTTAATAAATCCTGCCACAATATAATAGAAACGACATTAAACCTAAAATAATTATTCATGGACCAAAAACGTTACATCTAACAACAATCATTATAACCTAAGTGAACTACAGTCCAACAATTAAAAACGACGACAACTGCTCTTGAAAACAGACAGGAAACGATCACAAATAAAGAGGGTGGGTGCACTTCAGTTGTCATCTTACTCCTCAAGTAGTCGATTTCTACCGCCATGAGCTAGGGTACATTTGTGTTATATCCTGATCTGAACATAGGATAGTATATGCAAGGGAATTCTGTAAACTGGAATTGAAATGAAGAGCTTAAGCAGTGATTAGTCAGGTGATCTTAGTGTCATCGAAAATGTCATCCACAAACAATTACGCAAAGAAATTTACGTCCGATTATTTCGTTAATATATTTTCTACAAAACCATAGATTACTTGAGATCTAAGTAATATACAAACTAGTACCGGACGTCCTGAATATTGCATCAACGTGAAGGACTTTTACATACCACAGACGACTGAGGAGGAAGGTTGAGATGTAACTGTAGACGATGCGATAAACCCATTCAAATAGTACTGTTTCTAATTTTAGAAACTCGGCTGACTTTCTAAGGAGTAACCGGTAAATACAGTCTCAGAGGATAAAAGTGAAAGTAAAAGCCATTAATAAGCAGAAAATAAAGACAATATTCTAACTCAAACAAAAGCATATAATTACAAGGTACAGTTGTGTTGCAGAGGCAACTTTCATTACATTTTTAATACAAATAAACCTAGGGCAGCAGCAAAGGTACAGTACATAGTGATAACTTGAGCACTTAGATAGGCTGAATCCAAGGTCAAAAAACAAGAGAAAGACAATCATCTATACATCACAAGTGGCAATGGCTTCCAGAAACCATGACAATTTGAAAGGCACAACCAGTTATGAAACTGATCTGTTAAGTTAATTCGGAGCATAACTATTTAGCGATTGTCATCCAAATTGGTAGTATCTTGGATTTCTTCAGTTTTCGTACTAAACGTTACTTCCGACGACAATTCGTGACCCGTCCTTTGAGTATATTCATAGTCAGAGACGTTGGAATGATTTGCCTCTGGCGACACACGACCAGCAGAAGAATGAGTCTTCTGCTTGTTACTTAAACTTTCAAGATACTCTCGTCTAGACTGCTCCATGACCATAGCGACTAAAGCATCTTCATCCATTCCTGTAAGAAAAAGAATAACATATTTACAATGTGGCAAATGAATAATTAGTACATACTTATGAAACCGTAAATAAAGGACAACTAAAACATAGAATAACAAACCCATGATTAACTTATATTCCATGGGAGATTTTTAATCAGATGCATGTTTCCTTTAAAAATCTGCAGATAATACAAACGAGGGACATAAGGAATTAATTTGGGATTAGTCACACAAAACTGACATCAAGGTTCGAAATCGTGGACAAATACAGATATATACAGACATATATATATGACCACTGTTATAGGTGGACCCACGCAGATTAATAAATAGTAGTGATTAGTAGTTCCATACTGCAGTTTTATCCAAAATACTCAGCTCTAGTTTTTCGATTTAATATGCTGCATAATGGGGTAGTTTTCGGGCTATGTTAAACCAGAGATGATTAATTCATGCATAAACCCTAACTTGTCTTCATACAAGCTAATAAGATACGCTAGGAACCGAAACGCAGTTAAGTAAAAATGAAGTAATCACTGAGCACTGCGAAGTGACTATCAACTACATATTAACCAAACAAAGTGGCAAAACAACATGAATTGAATACTTTGTTATGCCCAACTAAAAGCGAACTAATTAAATTCCACGTTTTATCACTGTAGTTATCCAGTTGAACTACCTACTGCAAGACATCTCTCAATGACCATTAGGTATGCAGCTTTTACTGAATAAATAAAGTCACTAAAAGGTGCTCGAACATAGTGAAAGGTGTACGTAATTGAGTGGAATTGTACCTTGTTGGGACTTTCGAATCCGGCTCCACCTAATTCAGTTTGCTCAACTGAGTAGTATATTTAAGTCATGCACAGTAAGTGTAGCTTATGTCATGCTACATGAAAAAACTGTTCAAGGTAACCGAGTTCACAAAGTATTTCAGTGAACATGAACATCCGCACATCTTATGAAAGCATACTGTAAATGGCACAAAATGCAATAATGACATCGGTTATTGCTGAAAACTTGATTCAAAAGTTAAATGGAAGTGAAGCTTGTAGTTACTCATATTTTAAATGGAATTTCTATCATATGAGTTATTTGATAACTGTGCTACAGTCGTATTTACAGACTTCTGATTCTCCAAAGCTGCATTATAAGCGGTTAGAAGCAACAATCGTCATTTGCACTTAATATGAAAATCACGTGGTTCTTGAGATTTATAATTCATAGGACTTTCAGATTTACAAGTTGAATGTGAAAGTGATATAATGGGGAACAGATTAGCATGGAGGCTTGTATCAGCTCCTTCTGACTTTAATCAACTAGCAGCTACAGATATCGGACTGATTTTGTTACAAAAGTACTACCTCCTCGAATGCAAGGGAATGTAAAATAGCCTTCAGCATATATCATACTGCCCAAATGAAGTGAAACTCTCCAACTTACCATTTTTCATCAGAACACAATATTTCTCCTAACAACTCTTTTAAAATTATTTGAACAAAAGGTTTTACTCTGGTTCACTCTGAGATAGATTAATCGCTGAATAATCTACCCACGAACGAGGCAATATGTCAAGTTACATGTCACTTTTCATCTTTTCTGACCAGTTAATAACTCCATTCTTTCGAATGACCCTATGTATAAAGACTATCAGAGATGGTAAAAAAATATTCACCTACTGAACAGTATTATCAGCACTAGCACTGTGTGACTCAATTTAATAAAAAAAATATCCCAAATGATTGAGTCCCAACAACAAAAGTGATGTCAAGATTTTGAAAGTGGTAGTCAACTTAGCTGGTAAAACCCCATTACTTATGTGCAATTTTGACGGATTCAGTATGTAAAATTTATTTTATTCCTTTACGTTTCGAGTGGATCATAGGGCTTCAATATATAACTTTGGAGTTTCAGTAGCAGTGGTTTTTTTACGGAGTTGAGTTGCTAGCCTCACACTCAACCTTCTCTCTTTATCGGGCTTACAGTCAGCTAGGGAGAGGTGAAGATGTGCGCGCGACCTGTCTGTGAAATTAGGAAGCTCAAATGACAGAAAGTGAAGTCAAAGCCAAAATAGATTATCGACGCAACTCAGCATTTCATGTTGATGGACCCCATATGAAAGACAAATAGGTAGACGTACACCTGCATATGCTGGTAACAGATTCATGACTGACATCTGCTGACGGTAGTAAAGACACTTGTTACCTAACTCCTTGGAGGTTGAACACATTCCAACTAACGTATCCTCACTATATTCAGGTTTGTCCATTTTATTTCTCATGTCTTTTGTGTATTGTTTCGACGTGTAGCAACTTTAAATCATGCAATTTTGTGTAAAGTTGTGTCATCCACTAGGTTATTTTAACCTTTATTGACCTATTATTTCGTGACAAATAAAGAGGTTATTGTGTCACTATAAATTTATCCATAAAATGTCATTAAATGAGACAACAAAAGGCAAATCTAAGGGACAAACGTGACATTACGAGAGTGGAATGTGAAATTATTGCAGGTAAAATTGATGGTAACGCCTCGTTTTTTTTATTTATTTGATGTTACTTTTTCCTATCTTAAGGGACTGATATTGTGACTTCCATTTCTGTCTCTCACTTCTTAACTTCTACTTGGTATGCAGATGTTTCACTTGGCTTTGCTGATAGGTTTTATATTTCAATGTATACCCCCGATGTTTCAGGTTTCAGTAAAGGTCAGTAACATAGGAATATCTGTAGCAAGGCATCAATGATGGTTTTGACGTATCTACTGCAAAAATTGGCGAGGATACTCTCAGAGGAAAAGAATCTGAATATCAACATTGCATTAGTTCTGATATTAAACTTACTGTACCTTTTTCATGTTGCACCATATAAAACAGTGGGTTTGAAAGCCCATAATGCTCCTTGATTATCTAAGTCGCACAAAAGTATATTTAAGTGTGCTATAAAACTATGAAACTTATTAAAATTATCAAAAAAACACAATAAAAATGGTCACTTACCCAGCATGCAAGGAGGAATATGACGCAATGTCATATCACTCTGAGAATTAGACGAACTAGGTAGTGGTTCTTTTGTAGACATATTGTTTTCACGAGTTTTTATGTCTGGAACAGAGGCTTTTGATGAAGATGCTACATCGGAACTTTTTGTCAAACTCGCTGGAATTCTACAGTCCACTGATACTTTTTGACCGGGATGTGCATCTGTACTTTCAGAAGCTGCGACGGAATTATTTGGATTTATCTTTTGGTTAACCTATTAATCACCAATTTTCAAAAGCAATAGTACAACACAATTGACGATCAGTAAATCAATTACTATGATGAATGATTGACAAGATATTTTTGAATAAAGTATTTTAAAACTAAGACTGCATTTTATGCGGCTCTTACAACCTACATTATGTCCCATCGCAAACTTTAACTACTATCAACAAAACGAGCAAGAAAACCTCAAGAAGAGCGTGTGCCACTCAATTATGAATCTGAACTACCTGACTATAGACAAGTTACACTTACAACTAGTCAAAAATTCAAACTAGGGGAAGAATTGATGTGCCAACAACCGACTCATTAGGTGATGAGTTACAACCTAAATACATTTCCACGATGTTTTAAAATCTGTGGAAGTATTTACAGGAAATTTTGATTCAATTCGAAAGATGTTTTTGTGTATCTGTTGGTAACCTAAAACTGGACGTATGCTCTAAGCGGCTGATAGAAAAATACGGAATCTGAACACTTCAAAGAACCATAGAGACCTCAGTACAATTATTAAACCGATGAATTTTTGTAGGATATAAAAAACAACATATCAATCCCAGTCATCCACGAACTACAAATACATCAACTTGTGATTCACCTATATTGGTAGCTGATGACTACCTGCCTGTTCAATTCTTCATAAAGGATTCGAAATGAGAGTTGTGACCCAGCTGTTAACTGAGAAATACATAACATAGTGTGTGACCAAGATCATACGATGGCATATTAGGGTAAAACGGCAACAGCGGAAAAACTAAATGTGGGAGAAGTTCGGAAGAAAAATGATGCACGCACTTGCTGCACCTAAACTAATTTTCAGTCACTTATCTAGTCTCCAGAAGTTTGTGGAACACAAACATTTGGGAGTCAAACCAAGCAAAAACCCGATGGACCTCTACAAAATTCGTTTGAGCACGACTGTTTTGCAAATATTTTAACCAATACAGTATACTAAGGTAGGTAGAACTAACCGACAAACAACAGTGCTGAAATCTTATATGAACTCATAAAGATTCTACGTAAAACATCCCGTTTTCTCTTGGAATTTTAAAAATAAAAAATTAAGATCTAGACGATAGCAGTAAATCAATAACCCGATAAGTATACAATAATTTATCTGCTTGAAAATACGGCTGCAATAGTTGTGACCATTAAATAACACAATTCTGACAAAACGTACAGGCACTGAGATCTGTTGTAGGTAGTCGAAGTAAGACTCCCGAACTGCTTGGTCTTCAATACATCTGTCAATAGCGTCTTGTTCTGTTTCAGCAAGCTTGTCGCGTAACATGGCTTCTTCGAGTTGTGTACTTTCAGACTCCCTTATGGCACGAGCAATGAGATCTGGTTCCGCCAACTGAAAGGAATAGATTAAACTATTTTAATGTAAACGTACGCCAGGTTGGTAGTTGGGCATACCAAGACCATGGCCAAACGATGGATTGAAAGGATCAACTATGGAATTATAGTGAACTCGACCATGATAACTAAGCCTGATAGGAAATTCTTTTGAATAATCAGCGTGAAAAACATTGATGGGTTCCACTGAACTGTGATAAATTTCAACAGGTCTGTTATATAATTCTGCGATTGCCTGAATCTCAACGTGATTCCCATAACAAGACACATCTCGTTTGCGGGATATGTAATGATCAAAATCTTCAGTGAGATATTGTGAAAAGTGTTCTTTGTTTTTAATCTTGGGAAAACATAGGGAAAAAGTAATCGGTAAATTACCATATACTCAATGACTTGGGAGCGTACGACATCATGCTTTTCTTCGTCACCAAAAATCTGATGGGCTGGGGACGTATTAGCAGGGAAACAGGAACTTACAAACACTGCGGAACAAACAAGCACCATCTGACGCAACCTTAATAATCTTCCATCCTTTCTTCTCTGCCAGTAGTCGCTCAAGACTATCGTCTGTAAGCTGAATTACCTCATGTTATGTGGGAAATAGTCTAACCTGGATAGGGGATGCTCTTCGCGGTTGTTTGCCGAAGTAATATTCATCTTCACTATTGTTCCCGGAGGCATCATCCACAATAGTGGGCTGGGGTTTTACCTGACTTGTCTTATTTTCACGCACATGTGGCCTGCAGTCAGTGGGGTTGAGAGACTCGATTTGTTGGGATATGTGACGGGTTGGTGGATGGTTAAAAGCTGCATGAGCTGGGTAGAGAGACGAATCAACAGGAAAAGAGTAGGACAGTGGAGATCGAGGGGCTTCGATGTCTTGATTAATGTTGGACTCGAGATGCACACAACGATGTCTATTGCGATGGGAAGCCATCTCTTTACGTTCTTCATTGTAAGGGTATGGTTTGAAGGCAAAGCTATGACGGCTGTTAGTGGAAGTCCCAGGAGGGTCTCTTTCGGACTTTACCCTATCCTTCCTATTCTTAATAGTCATCTCAGACTGTTTACAAGAGGGGTATAGCGCAAGTTTCCCGATGATATCGTCAACTAGATTGTCTAGACGAGAATCTGAAAGATCGGAGTCACCAGACGCTTCAAGATCAGACCCGCTATCAGATGACAAACCGCCTTCGGACACCATTACATAGTAGCGCCATTAGCCTCTTACCACAGAAAAGATTAGTTTCTCAAGTAACTGCTGAAAATAAATTATTAAAACTCATAAACTGGTAATTACTTACTTATGGTTGAAAAATAACGATCATTAAATGGTAACGTTCAATGTACAATAGTGCGCTCTGAATTTGTCACAACAAAAATACAGATACATGATTTCTTTGAAATCTTCGTTACTTTTGTCAGCAAATAATTAAATGTGTTGAACTATTGTGGCTACATTTCCAAAAAGAACAATGAGAAACGAAAACGTGGGTTGGTAAGATTCACAAGTGACTACAGGAATATCGTAAGTGTAAATCAGAATTCATAACCCGAATCCTTCTTAGATAGAAAAGCCTCCCCACTGGATTAGATATTGGTGTCATATGAAAAAATCACTCAATAAAATGGGTGTAATCATTGCAATGGGGTGCACCGCCTCAATGGGTAGACCACATTGTCTTCACGTGGGGCACTTGCGAAACAGGTCATACTGCCCATGGACTAAGTTCAGACTGCAAGTTGTTGTGGTCGTAGATTAAGACAAAAGATCTAAATGGTGGTTAACCTAAACATGAAGTGAGCACCCTTCTTAGTGTACAAATAACTAATTGACCGTATTTTCTACTTTGAACTTCTGAAAACATTCAGAATCATTGCAGAGATTTTTAAATGCTTCTCTACCTTTTTTCCACACGTGTTTAGGGTTATAGTTAATTTATCACTGTCTGAAGTATTTAATCAGAAAACTAAGTACAAAATTTTGTTGCTAAGATGCATTCTGCCAAAATGTTCTGCATATTCCTCTTTACTGAATGGGGTGTCACAGCCAATTTAACGCACTGTCTCCCATAAGAACCCTTCCAACGACGTGGATAAAAGCCGTCTAACACCAGCTGCCCCCATATGTATGCGCCTGATCAGACTGTTCCGGTTTAATGCAATCAAATTCGAATGGTGGTACAAGGCATGAAAACTGTGTGAATATGTGGAGGGACACTAGAAAATGATGGAGACTGTGTATACTAATATCGGTATGCGTAAGCGCTCTGTGATTTTCTGGCGAACTACGAAAAACTGAATCAGTTTACATTTTTCGAAAATGCAGTGGCGGATCTCGGCATCAACTTTATGAATAATCTTTGGTAGTGGTTTGTCGAACCTACATTCATGGGTTGGATAATGTGCGAACATTCGTGGCTATTGATAAATTAAAGATATTTGTGTTTCAGGAAAACTTCACGTCACTGATCCACAGACATGTCAAATGCACACTTGTGATAACTGATGCCTGGAGATACCTAGGGTATTAAACCAGAGTGCCAAGCTTCAGCGGGGCTTATTTACTCACACAAACAAACTGGTAGACTGAAGAACCTCAGGTACCATATGCCTATACTGTTTATTTGCCATCCAACGTAACGAATATTTGGAGTAGTTGAATGTAAATTCACAGCTTTCCTGTCCCAGTTGTATTTGCTAGGGTCACTTTTTTGTAGATGACAACCAATACAGCACAACACTCCCATATCTTCCCCTTTATACAACTAGAGGTATTTCCCTCACTAAATAAGTGATATACTTATGGCATTCTCACTGTTGCCTACTGTGTCATCTGCGCTTGCCCAGTGTCTATACTAGTGCTGACGTTTTGAGCCACTAAAGGATTCATGCTGATCCCTGAGCCTGTAAGTATTTATTTATTCTTTAGTGGATCCCGGAGGTAATTTTCACTATTCCAAAAGAGCCTAAAGTAGTATTCCAAAGTGCAAATAAATGCTAGCTTTTGTCTACTGCGGCTTCTCTCCAATGGTAAAATTATTAAGGTCACAGTGTGTGATCCAGCTGACTTCACAATTGGATTCAACATGTACTCCTGAAAGATAAGAGTTAATGTGCACCACTTTCACATCATTGTGCCTTTTGTCCAGATGAGAGCCACTTAAGCTCATAAAAATGTTTCCGTGAAAGGCTGTGGCAAATAGCGAAGCCCTTGGGTTGGTTGATATGAAGTTGGTGGTTGCATTTTACAGGGTAGCGCAAAATAACGAGAAGTGGTGAGAGCTCATTCACAAGTTGGGAAATTTTGGGCGGTTAATTCTTAACCCAACTGTGACTGCGAAGAATTAGAGCAGTTATCGTCACGCGGTAAAAATACATTCTCATTTGTTTGCATATGAGGGGCGCCAGTTCTCAGACATCATGTTAAATCATATATATGGAATTAAGATGCTCTTTATTGAAAACACAGCGGTATATAAGACAAGGTTATTGAAATATCAATAGAGGTGCCTTACAGAGGTGGAACCAATGTACACAGTACAATCTCGGGTATCAGGACCATTTAAAATTTCGATGAAGCCATGCAATAATGGAAGATTACGCCACAAATGGCGAATATGGTAGGTTATCCATTAGACCTTAAACATTGCTCTTTAGAAACTTTAGCTTGCCGACAGTAACATTTGCGGCACTAATGACTGCCAAAGGCTCGCCACACGTTATCCTGCAGTCAGCCTTAAAAAGGGTACTATTATTCCTTCAGCAGATCCAAACCATACCACAGCTAGAAATTCCTGCATCCATCTTCGCGGTCTACATGTATTTTCTACTAGGCTCAGAAAATGACAAGAGCTCTCCAAGGTGGGAATGGTTGTTCGACTCAAAAATTGTTTTGTATGGCAGTAACAGTAATAAGAACCCATTTCAAAACACTTGTGTCTGACTAAGTTTTAACAGCTCATAGTCTTACTCAATGGTCTAAGCGGAGACATGTGCCATCGAGGAAAAATGTATACAGCTTTACACCAATTTCAATGCCTAATATGGAGAAATGCTTGCTAATATTGGCATCCAAACATCGATTTTAAGACAGCTGGAGAAGGTGTGGGTACCATGCAAGAGCTGGCGACCTTTGGGAGACGGTGCAGCAACAAAAGGTAGCATTGGTAGCCATATGCGTTTTCAGAGGTTGACTACCGTTTAATGAAAGTTGTGAGATAGATGACTATCTTCGCTACTGACAACGCGTGAATCACTTTAGACCCATCATATTAGCACTAAGGAGGAATCCGTGTAGGTTCTAGTTGTGGTGAGGGATGGTTGCTAGCCAAATTGAGGTCAATGTTTACGTGAAAACAAGGTCAAAGATGGATAGCAGACTTTGCGTAGGTGGGTACAGTTAACATATAGATATATAGAAGTTCTGCAGTTAGTCATAATAATACTGATAATAATGATGGTTTTATCATTAACAAAGATGACAAAACGGGGTGATCTGTTACGACAAGAATAGTGGAAAACAGCATGGTTAAACAAACAAATGTTTGGGTAAAAGTAGTCGACAAAGGACAACAAAGTAAGTGGGGCGATAAAGTATTGCCAGATCGTAGGCTTAGTGGTTCGAATGCCTACCGTCTCAGCTATGTGCAGTAGACGAACACGAAGTTCGTCAGAAAGATTCAGTAGGATGCAACGAATCAACTTGAGTGCTTTCGTTTTAGTAAGCGATCACCTGCACAGTTCTTGCTATCCTTGTAAGGCGGTTAACTACATTTGTATTCTAGTGGCGCGTAACTAAGAGAGTGCATGTATTCCCCAGTGAATGTGCTTCTATACACGCTTTCCTCGAGTGATCCATCTTCTCGCTTACTTAGCTAGACGTCCAGAAAATGCAGTTTATGGCCCTAAGAAGGGCGGATTTGATTGAATTTCACCTTTAATTTATCTATATTTACACTCATTAACCAAGGTGAATGTGTCATCAGCATAACGGTAACATATATCCAACTCATTTATAATGTCTTTCAATCTCCCGTTTTCAGGTTTAGCGAAGAAGTCAGCTGCGACTAGGCCTCTGAATCCATAGCGATTCCACATAGTTGTCGGTAATATGAATTATTGGAGACAAAGTGCCTGTCATTTTCGCATTTAAGGAGTAGCTCTTTGAGGCTAGATAAAGGAATCACTAAGTCCACTTGTTTTTCAGTGATTTCTTATCATACGCAATCTGCCGTTCCGACAAATATTAGTTTTTGGATAATGCTGATGCATCCATAGAAAACACATGTGTATCACCAACATAGCCACAAATACTATAAAAATGAAGTCGAAGAAGTCATTAATCCTATATCGCACAATTTCTTTGTGAAACGGTCCCAGAATCTTCACTAACCATTTTGGTCATTTGGTCATACATAACTGACGATTATACTCCTTTTTGATTCCTTTTTTAAATATGTCATCGGTTTCTCCATTTTAACATCAAGGCTTTGGAATTATGATGAGATTGGAATTTGGTTCAGTCATTAGAAGTACCTTCCATTTTCCCGACGTTATAGCTCTTGTTCGGTAGCATTATAACGTCGCCTTCCTCCGACTTGCTTATAATAAAGCCCTAATTCCTCGTAACGTTGGGTAATTGACTAAGTTGTTAGTTTTCCAGCCGGTCCCAACCCCGGGTAAGGAAGGAGGGTTGGGCGTGGGCTAGCAACCATACGCCACTAAACTAATCAACATGCTACAGAAACTTCAATACACGGAAAACATATTGAATATACAAATGCTTCAAATAACAACAAATTTATTCTACGCTCGAATCGTTGGGGCGAAATGACACGGCGGGTTGGTGAAAGCCTTCGGGAAGCTAGTCAGCCGATGTGTGGATGAATGTGGATTATCCAGATTGTCAACTGGCGAGTCAGTAATCACCCAGACGACAATCACGAGCACTGAGTAGCTATCATGATGTCACCAGTGGCAGCCAAAGCCGTAATGCAGTGGGAATCAGTTTCATCTAGGATCATGACAGCAAGATTCAACTCTAAAGGAAGGAAAATCACACTCATCCAGTACTACGCACAGTGCCATAAACAACGCGAACAAGTGAAGAGGGAAGTATTTTATAGACAACAACAAACAGTAATGGACAACATCCCAAATGGTGACATCAAAATCCTCAAATGCGATATGAACACCAAATTTGGACTTGATAATACAAGAAGAGAACTCATCATGAGTTGAGAGACTCATGGAGAAATGAATGAGAACGGAGAATTATTCGCAGACTTCTGTGCTCCCTAAGATTTGGTGATTGGGGGTAGCGTTTGCGAACACAAGGATATACACAAAGTAACATGGATTTCGCCTGACGGAAACGCCACAGACTAGATCGATTTCATCTGAATGCCGCTCAAGGAAGTGGAGACTCAGCCTGCTGGATACAAAGTCAAGCAAGGGAGCAGATATGGGTTC